CATAGTTTAAACTTCTTGTAAGTTTTTCAGATTACTGGTCTGGACACACACAGTGTGAATTTATCCTATTCCAGCTTTGTGCCATCATAATAGAACTTTCCTCTCATGAACATTTGTGAATTTGTTTATCAAATAGTAAAAAAAAGTCACAATTTTATATCAGTAGGAATGAGTCAATTTGCATCTGCAGTACACATATCAGGAATTACAGGCAGGAATTCAGTATATGAATAAAATTTAAGGCTTTATGGATTTGTTTATGTATTTATTTCTTCTGAATGTTAGCGCAAAGTAAATGTCTTTGGGGTTTATAGTAGGAGTACCTATTATATACCAAAAAGCAGATACTTTGCTCATTAGGATATGAAAACATAAGCATGTGAATTGTTTTTTTAAAAATGTACTGGTATATATTACCAATACTAAAGACAAACACTACCCTCTTAGCATGCTTTCACTGATGTTATATTCAGCATTAATCATTTAGTAGATGCATATAAAGCTCAGATACAGCAGTCTAAACATAGAAAATAATTGTCACTGTGATGATTTTTTTTTCCTCAAACATGTGCATGAATTATAGTACTTTCACAAAGAAATCTTACACTCCAGGGAATTTTTTTGTTATAATCATCATTCTTATAAGCAACAATCAGGAGTTTTTTTCAGCACAACCCCATAAGGCACTTCAGATTACAAAAACATTAAAAAGTTGCATTTCACATACTCCTAAAAAGTATAATGTACATTCTACACCAGTTTTTGGCATCACAAAACCATCTGTTCTCCCTTTTTCTTTTACTTCTGAATTTCCATTAAAAGTTTTCACATTAATATTTCATTTCATCAAGTTCTAGTGTAGAGGAAACACGATTCATAGATCCGTTCTTTCTCATCTCGGCTTCATCAAATATGTGAGCTTGGGGTCTTGCTGTGTGGAAGCTGCACATGTTTTCCTAGCCGAGGCACTTTGGTTCTCCAGACTGTGGACACAAGGAAGAGCAGTTCAGTATACCCTAGACATAATGTACAGAGTCATCACTTGTTTGTGGTGCTGCTTGATGGGGTCTTTATTCAGCACACGGCGTACGCTCTCTTAAAGTGAAATTATGGGGTCGGGTGAAAACAATACATATGTGAGGCCTTGTACATTTCTGCAGTCGTTTTCTTACGTAATACAAGGCTAAGATTATATAACTGCCTCTCAAGCAGATGTTATGAAATGCCTCTCGAACAGCCACTGTGCCTTAAAAGCGACCAAGGACAAACTGTTCAATTACGGCTGATGGACAGCAAAGGCCAGCGCGATGCTGTCTATTATTCTTCAGCACAGGAAACAGACTTGTCTTCACACGCTGACTGGCACACAGCATGTCTATGGGAGAGAAAAGTCACAAAAGGCTGTGACTCAGGATAGTAGCTGAAGTGCTTTGGACCCTGAAATAAAAATAGACATGATGGATCAGTTTGTCCAAAACCAATGAAACTGCTGTGATGATGTCTCTCAATTAGGTAATAGATTTTAAAAACATTTATTAGATGAAAAGTTCTTGTTAGTTTAGTCAAACCTTTTGGTTGTTAAGGTTATGAGGAGGTAAATGATAAGGACGCCAGGGTTAATTCTTCAGAACAGGTATTTATTAGTAAAATAGGAACAGACAACAATGATAGTTATATTAACAAGTAAGAAAGGTGCGTTTATTTACACAAAAATAAGATACAAACTGTTTTTTTATTTTCTTACTGCGTGTGATGGCATGGGGCATTTAAGGCTCTCTGACATGCGTAAGACAAATTCACACAAAGCTGATATAATTATTTTGACCACCGAGTGGGGCTAAAGCTCCTATCAGAAGGCACCAGGGTTTTAAATATGATCGGGTCAGTGTTAGTAGACTTGCTGAAACATACACCATCTCTCTTTAAACTGGGGTCTAATCTCTGAGGTTTTTTTTCACAAAGCAGATTCCTCAATCAGTTGGACAGGTTTAGACAGGGCTCAAGACTGGGCATAATTCATTCAACCTATATTTAGACTCAGAAATATATTGCTGAGCTGTGCTTTCTCTTACTGAACATATTTGGCTTTTGACTTTTGCCTGAAGCAATCTAACTTACTGATACTGCTTTGGTAGTTCCTTATAGAGGCTTTAAGACTTATAGCAGGTCTTAATCTGATTAGAGAATCCAGTGAAACCTCCTGCCATGCGGAGTTAAATCTGGTTTCATTCTACATTCTACATACAGATAGCCACAGCATCCAGAACTCTGCCTCTATGACAATCAGACAAACTGGGTGTTGTGAGCACTGTCCGTTTAGCATGCAGCAGTAAATTTAGGCTCTTAAATGCACAGATGACATTAAAGGGGCAATTCAGTTGCATAATTCAATCATTTACATGTAAACAAAGTCATTTAGAGTAGTTTGATGTGAAACAGAGTGCTATAGAGAACTTACCTGCTCAGATGTTTTACAGTGGTGGTGATAGGAACCAAGAGTTGTCATGTCTGGTGCAAATATAGCCAATTTGCCATTTATTATCTAAAATGACCAGTGAATCTGCATGTGTCTTCTGTTTTTATATGTATTATTAAAGAGAATGGTGAAATATGGCAAAGTACAAAAAATAAGTTTTCTTTGAGGACTAATTTGCCTTAAAACACCTTGCATGTATCTATCTGCTATAAATAGATTAAAAAATTAGGCCAAATTCTCATCTCAAAACCTTTCTGAATCAGTGTCTTAGGAATCAGGCAGTGTATTTAGAACCAGTTTGTGTAAAAGCATTATGTCAGACATTAAAATCTCCTGCCATCTGGTTCCTATCACAACTGCTGTGAACAATTCTGACCCATAAATTTCTCTAGAATGGCACATTTCCCATCAAACCTCTCATAATGAGTTTGTTTACATCTTAACCATTTAATTATGAAGAAATTTAGAAACGAAAAGTGAAAATCCATTTTAAATAGGTTAGAAGAGAAGAGGATGAGCATGCTATTAGATGTCATGTCGCCTTTTTGTTCTTCTGATGATACCTGAGGCACTTGGGTCATCTGCTCCATATGTGTCCTTATGTGTCCTCCTGGACTGAATATGCTAGGCCTGACCTCTGAGCGGTGGACATTATCACTCCTGGGCTGGAAGATCTTGCTGTGGTAGCCATGGGGATGATACGACAGTGATGGTTCCTTATCGTGTTCTTCTCCATCACTGCCAATAACCACCAGTTCAGCCTGCATCTTCTCACCTTCCTCATCTGACTCTGCATTCTGATAACCCATAAAAATCATAGTGATAGGCTCACTGCAGTCCAGCTCAGACGGGATGGAGTTCACTATGTTGAAGTCCGCCTTTGAGTAAATAGGAGAGGTTCTCTCAAATTCTAACTCTGAATTGGACTCTGGAGTGAAATTTTGCTCTTCCTCAGGTTCCTGGATGAGCTCTTGTTTGTTTAAGTGCTCACCACCACATCCTTTGGTGAGATTAGCTTCCTGTCTATTTATAGAACTGTGGTTATTGTGAAGATATTGCCTGGGATCTGGAATGTGAAAGGGTGAGAACTTGCCATCTGCTTGACCTTGAGCATCTTGTTTCCTGATGTTGTCAAATTGTAATGGGCTGGGGGTCTTGCTAACCTTGTGGAAACCATTGTGAGCTGGGCTTATCACACCTCGTTCCCCTTTTCTAGGAGTACAGGGCCTGCTGTATGGACTGGAAAACACAGGCTCATGGTACTCCACATCGCTTGAAGCCTTCTTCTCTGTTGCTTTCCTTAGAAGCTCCTCCACCTCCAGAGGACTCAGTGCATCTAAACTATCATCAGACACCTTTCCAGCAGACTGTACAGCAAAAACACTTTTTCTGCCATCATCATAGACTTTGATGCCTTTCTGCTGGAACTCCTGTGTGGTGAGTGTGGCAGAGGAGAGAATCTGACTCTTTCCTGTGCGCAGGTCTTTTTCCACACTGATCTCCATAGCATACATTGCTGAAGAATAAAGAGGAGGAGCAAGCATCAGCCAGGCAGCGTTTCTTTAGTTTTACTTCTTTTTACATAGTTTTTACACTACAGTACATATATAGCCAAAAACTCCTTAAAACTTTTTTATGAATGTTCTTTAAAGAAATATTTTTGTAAAAGAGCTGTGTGAGTGTAAAGGAGCAAAGCACCTCATAGACCTGGCTTGTAACTTACTCACTCATTCATTCACTCACACTCACTTTCTAAGTCACATTAAGCAGGTTGAAAATTCTCCACAAGGGGGCACTATTAGCATTCAAAAAGCTTTTAGTACTTCACATTAATAACACTGTGTCTTTGTTTAAAGTTCTATATTATACCAAATGCAGGTCTTTACAAGAATCATATATGTGAAGAAGCATTTAGGAACCTTTATTTTTATTTTGAGCATATAATCATATTAAAGTTTGTTTGATTTACAGTATGCATAGTACTGAATCATACCCTTTTTCTCTTGTTCGGTATCCGGCTCCTGTACCGGAGTGTTAATTCTTCTCAGAAGGGTTGGGGTATATGACTTAGGAATATCAGGTATTGCAGAGTAGATGTACTGAATTGGCTCTGTAACAGATACTGTATGAATCCGATGTTGTTATGAAAAAGGTATGGAAGTTGACAATGTTTTATGCAAAACACTCAGAAAAAGATTGTTTACCTGGTTGGACATCGCCATTGACTTCCTGTGTAGAAATACAGTGGGTCGATATCAAAACATGAAATGATGCGAAGATACACAGCAAAGTGTCTGTTCCACACCACATCGAGCTTACTGTCTTCTGTCAGTTCTAACAACCAAAAGACTGCAAGCAGTTGCATCATGATGTCAAAACAGAACCATTCCACTCTCTTCCATGTTTACATGCCATGTCCATGACTCATAACTCCGATGACCCATCAGCTGTTGGAGTAGATTAGTCCAGAAAACTGCAAGAGTTAATGTGCCCACACACAGCCAAATGATTAACCCAGCAATACCTTTATAATGTCCTCTGCAGTCTTCTCCACTTCCTTTAGCCGCTTCAGAATGAGCTCTTCATTCTCTGAAATATTCATCTCCTGTGTCTCAAGAGCGCTGATCTCACTCTCTATTCTGCAGAACAGATACAAAAAAACACAATGAAGTGACAGCACACCCTGGAGATCACATCCAACAGCTTTTCAAACACCCACTCAAGCCTGATCACACAGAGGATTTGTATGAACATGCATTGTGGAGTAAAAATCATAGGAATTATTACAAAGATATCACCCTACACTTGAATTATTTCTCATTTACATTCTTTTTTTAATTGTATGAACAAAGATCACCCAGAAAATCCATATTGTTATTAAGATAATAATAATAATAATAATAATAATAATAATAATTATTATAAACTTTGTTTACATAGCACTTAAAATTGAGCTTAAAGTACTTTGCAATGCATTATTAAAAACAAAAGGGTAAAGAAACAAAAAATAGACAATAAATAAAATACAAAAATAAGCAAAGTAATTCAAATGCAGTTACAATATAAGAAAAAAAATACAACAACTACAGTAATGCAAGAATGAAGTGCCAGTAAAAGTAAGGAATACAATAACTACTGGAACAATTTGTTTGGTTTTCATTTTTGACAGCTGCCTTTACTTTGTGTCAAATTGTGATGATTATTAAACAAGTGGAAATGGTCCAAAATTACTTGAATCAAATAATTGCTACACTTCCTTTAAAAATTAAGAAGGTTTTGTCCTTCTCATGTAACACACACACATACACACACACACACACACACAACATATGTATACTGCTGTCAGAACAAAATATTACACCTCCACTAACTTTACAGCAGAAGGAACAAAATTACTTTACTTTTATTACGATTTCTTTTGGTCTATTCATCATGTAGTTTGCACACAATATAAACGGCAACAGGCATTTTCAAATTAGCCTAATTAGCCTAAGTCAAATTACCGAAGGTCTGAGACTACATTGAATATCTGGTATTTTTTTCATTTAATCCTTTCTTTATGTTTTCCAGAAGCTTGAAAAACGTAAAGAGAAATTATGACAATTAAAATAAAGAAGGCAGAAGAAGTAATAAAATGTCAGTCAATTCTAAAGGAAACAGGCCGCCAGCAGAATGATGCAAAACTGCAGGAATATGGTCTTGTTTTCTGTTGCATGTTCATATTGTAGCTGCTGCATTTTGAAATGTCTAACTCTCTTCTGTCACACATTAGTCAACCTATCTGGGAAACTGAAGGGAAACCATCACGTTTAAACACACATGTAGTCGATCGAGGTATGACAAAACATCATAGGACACACTTGGAGAATAGTGCTCATTATCTGATATGTGTCATAATAGATGTTCTTACATCAATTTCTGGCATGAAACTTGGATTCAAGCAACAGCATGTAATCTTCTCAGATAACTGCACGTAGTCTAGCTTTGTGATGATTTTGTTGTTCTCCAAGTTTATGTGTAAATTAATGTTAGGATTTAGGTATTCATGCCTTGATTTCTAAATCTGTATTGCCATCTCCTCTGTAACAAGTGGAATAACATGAACTAATATGACAATTTCTTCATTTCTGTGATAAAAATTGCTTTGCTAGCACTGAGATGATTTGCTATTCCACAAAAATAAGCCATCCACTGGATTGATCACAGACAACTTAACAGCTTGTTTTTCTGTGTTGTGATTGAGGGCATGACTTTGATCCTTAGTATCAGGAGCATCTGGGAAAGTTGATGGCTAGCGTTCTCCTGGTGACGGGGGAGATTTTCTTCAGATTGCTTTTTGTGTTTCATCCGCTCCACTTAAACTGCAGCAATCAAAACTCTTACAATTCACTGCACTGTGTTCACAAGGCTAAGGTCCTTTCAGTTTACTCTCTATCAGTGCAGGCAGAACCAAGATATCAAGCTGTCTGACTGTGCTGTGGTGACTTGAACTCTTAAGCGCCTAGATACCTTCAAATTATCTGTAATGACGTTCTTAACTGGCTAAATGCAGTGAAGTCGTTAATGCCGTGACCTCAACTCTCACACCCGTTCAAACATTTTGCAGTGATAGATCTACTCTTCATGGAAGCGTGGTTAAAGTTAAACACAATTTACTTGATTAATCTGTTCTTTATTAGTGTTAGTCGTCCGTCAGTTGTAAGCCATTCTGCGTAACTGATTTGTTTGTCCAGACAGAGGTAAGCGTAAGTAGAGTAAGTAGACACATTATGTAATACCGTCCAGCCTGGCTGGGTAACCACTGTTTGACACTTAAAGCTCATCACAAGGGTTAAACAGGAGTAATCCTACCAATCGCCTTCCTCTCACGGCTCTGAGTGAGAGTGGTAAGCTTGTAGGTTACATGCTGTGAAGTCCACACATGCTGAAATGGCTGAAATAGCGTAAGCAGTGAAACAAAAACAGAGACATCGATCCACTTTTCTAGAGTACCTGTCAATATCGCTCTGTAGGAGCTCAGCCTGTTGTTGTTCCTCCTGAGCTTGTACTCTCATGGCTTGTTCTTCCTCATCATTCTGGCCACTTAAACCATCCATGAGCCATTGTTCCCGCAGAGCCTTTTTCTATTCAGACAGCAGAGAGTGTAGATCAGTTTCCAGAAGCTCTTTCTTATCTCAATACTCAAAATGTACCTCAAATATGTTGTACGCTCTTCAAAATAAATATGCCATGAAGGGATTTTTTTTTTGCGTGATGCCATAGAAGAACCACTTTTCATTCCCTAAAGAATCTTTCACTGCATGGTTCTTAAGAGAACAGTGTTTGTACATGAGATGTGTAAGTGTGACAAACCCAGGTAGAACACTTAAATTGGTGCAGAACCTTTATATGATGTGAAGCTTCTTTAATTCTTTAAAAAAAGTTATTCAAACTCACAAATCTCTTTTTTAAACATGGTTCTTTAGCAAACCAAAAGTGGTGCTTCTTTGGCATCATTCAGAGAAACCTTTGTGGCACCTTTTTCAAAGAGTGTACAAGAACGTGTAAGACAAACGTACCTTCAGATACTGAAGTTTTAATTTGACTTCTTCAATTTCTCTCCTTTTCTTTGCAATGTCCTCTTGTATTCTTCTCTTTTCCTGTTTAAACACACTGAATTGTTAAAAGCACACATCCAGTTCCTGAAAATAATTACAAAAAGGTGATACAATTTAACAAGTGACACCTACAATTAACATCTTTGTCATCCTTTATATTATTGAAATCAACAGTGATGTAGTTTCTTTTATGTGGAAAAAGTCTGCACACCCCTACATATATCACTACTTTAGATGTGTCAAACTGAAATCAGGTGTACCCAATCAGGTGCTAATAGCTAGAACACCGTGCGAGAATATTTTGGAGGCCTAAACTTGTCTTATTTAAGCCTCTAGATATCTGGTCTGGTTTGCTCTTCGTAATTGGAGTGTGTGGTTTCATTATGACTAGATTAAAAGAACTCTTCGAGACCTTCAGAAAGAAAGTTGTAGATGTCTGTGGTTTCCAGAAGGGGTTTAAGAAGACATCCACATGATTGGAAATGAATCATTCCACTGTCCAGAAGATCATCTACAAGTGGAGAAGATTTAAAACCACTGCTAACTTGTCCAGGCCAGGCTGCCCTAGTAAATTTAACCCAAGAGCAGACCATAAGATGCTAAAAGAAGCACCCCAAAATTTCATCACATGATCCACATGTAGCTCTTGCCTCTGTTGATGTCGAAGTGCAAGCATCTACTGTTAGAAAGAGAAGAGTTACCAAAACCAGGAGTGTACTTATTTTTCAACAGACAAAAATGACATCTCAGTTGATTTTTTTAAAATGATTGCAAAATGAAATGTCCATTGTTTTTTGTTGTATTACATAATGTTTATCTATACATAAACATTATGTAATAGAACATAATGTGGTATTATTAACTGAAGATCAAATACTGATGTGTCCTCAATAGTCAAAAAAGAGAAACATTTTATAGGGTGTACTTACTTCTTTACATGGATGTGTAGTCTACTCAGTTTAACCCCTTGAATTCTAAGGATTATTACATCCTGAGGCTTTTTATTCAGTAACTACATGAAAAAGTGATGCAAACTGACTAAGTTGTCCTTAAATGGAAGCAGAAATTCCACCAATGTTTTAAACATTTCTGCATAATCAGTCATTATGACAAAAAGTCATGCTGAGTGGTTTAATGTGAAATGTTTAATTCTATAGAAATGTCAGAATTGTTCACAGTGGTCATGATAGAAACCAGATGCTTTTCTATCAAAGGTTTAGCATTTCACGTCAAACCACTCTGGATTACTTTGTTTATATCTCAACCACTTTTCAATTTTCTTCATAAATAAGATATAAGAGTGAGTAATGGAAGCCTGGACCCACTGGCAGCTCCTGGCCATTTAAGAGGTGAATGAAGCTGATATCAGTCCTGAATATATTGCCTCAGTATTTGCCTCAAAGAAATACTAGTATGTGCAAAACATGGAGAACTTGTTGTATTGAGAAAGATTCTGAGATACTACTCTTAGCCTTTTAAATGTAAAAGGAGATGACTATATTGGATCTGTAAAGACTGTGCCACTGTGCAAAATATCACCTGAAAAATATAGATTTGCATGTACATTTTACTTCTCTGTACTGGAACATCTGTAAGAAGGTTCACTCAAAAACACAATTTCAGGAGAATGAAAGAAACCATGGAGCAAACTCTTCATTTTCCTCTCCAGTGAAAGCTGAAAATAGAATGTTCTCCTAGAACTTGAGAACAGTGGTGTAAATCCAATTTGCATCCTCTTATTGCATGTTCTCAGTCACTGGAGACATACTAATTAATAGTGAGTCGCACACTGAGAAACACACCTGTCTCTTCCATGTAAACAGTGTTCAAAAGCAATTGGACAAAAGGTCAGACTAAAATATACTACAAGACTTTGAAGTGTGACCTAAACATCCTTCCAGCTGTAAGTGTTTTAAATTGAGGACCAGACAGCAACTGGCTGGAACAGGGTCCTATAAGGAGAAATATGATGAACCTAAAAGAACTATAAACAGCCAGTAAAACAATGAGGAACAACAGAAAACTAATTAGTTGTATTGATGATGGGGGAATCAAATTCTTTGCAGTTCTTTGGTGGAGTAAATGAGGAAGTGAGAAATTCATCTTTAACTATTGATCATTAATAAATTAGAACTATTGTCCGTCTTTATAATGGACTACAACCTTGATTCCTTGATGTAGTTAACTGAGAGATCAAAGCAGCTACCTGTTTCAGTGTTGGTTTTAACAAGCCTTCATCCACTCAGCGTCCTCAGGGGAATCCTATGGGCTATTCCTTTACTTTTGCTCAAGTGAAGTGTGTTACATGATCCCTCAGTGGGGTGTCGACTTCAACTGCAGAATGTTTACAACAGTTTTAGTCATAGCAGTACTGTTTAGTCATAGCAGTACTTCTAAATGTTTTACATTTCAAAACCATAACACTCGATTTGCCGAACTTTAGGTTCAAACTACTGTATCTGTTATACATGACTGCTGATACAACTTCATCACTTTACCCTGCTAGCTTGCTAGTTAGCATGCTAAAGCCTACACAGCTAGCAGCACCAAAAAGAAAGGTAGCACGCCACAGTCCTACGCCAACATTTATAGCCAGATAAAACAATTGTTCACATGTATTATGTGTGTGATGTTCAAATGTCTCAAAAAATATTTTGGATTGCAAAGTTTGCATGGCTAGCCAGTTAGCACACTGAGGCTAACCTGGCCGTGGGCGTGTACATTTTGACTGAAAAATTCCCTCCTCTCTCCTTCCCCCAGTTTTGCTATCAGTGGCCACCTGTGTGACGTAGGTGTGATGGACTTCTGAGTGGTCAGTTGAAATTGGTGAATGCATGTTAAAACCCAATATGTGTTAGCAGACAGCAAGAGGTGCTCCCTGTTTACCAATACAGGCAATTTTCAAAATGTATAATAGATTAAAAATGATATATACAGCGGGTTTATTTATTCTTAAAGATTAAACATGTTTCAAAGTCATCATAACACTGGACCAGTTTTCCAGACCTAGATTATGTCTGAGCCTAAATTAAATGGTATTTGTAATGGTGAAACACCACAGACACTGCAGTTTGTCTCATTAACTGTCCATATGAGGGTCCACATTCATTACTACATAACTTACATATTAATTTCACAATAGTAGTCAAACAATTTATAGTTGCTAAAAGAGAGCGATATCCTTTTACATAGTAAGACTAAAGATTATAGCTGAACGATAAACCTGCAGATTAAGAGGTTAAATTAAGACTATATAAGCCATGTCCACAAAACCAGCCCTATAAATACAAAGCGAGTGCACTGCTTATCAGTGTACAATTATAACACCACTATTAGCTCCAGTATCATACTCACCGTGATGGCCTGCAGTCTCTCCCGCAGTAGGTCAGCCTCCTCCATTCTGACTCTACAAGAGAGAGATGGAAAAGAATCTCTTCTGAGCCATGGATACACAGCAGAAGAAGGAAAGGGAAGGAAACAGGCAGAGAGCGTGAGAGAGAGAGAGCCAAAAACAGACCGTGGGTGGGTGGATGGTAGGTGAGGGGGGGCCACTCTCTGTTGTTGGGCAATGCTGGAGGATAGACTGGGTTAGTAAGCAAAAGGGAGTGGGTAGCAAGGTGGTGGATTTTCTGTGATATCTTTTCTGAGGGATAAATGGGGCTGGTGGTGGGAGTATGTATGTGTGGGTGGTCACAAATGACCAGGAGGTTATTGTAGTGTGCTATGGATGAATAGGGATATCAAGCATAGCTGGAACATTCTTTTTTTCCTGACACATCACATGTCAGATCTATCCAGGCAGGTGAGATCTAGGCCTGGAAAACTAAGACCTCAACTTGAGGGGCGACATAGTCACTCTCATCTAATGGGTACCAATAAATTATGTCAGTGAACAAGACAAGCCAAACAAATGCCATTGTCAAACACTGTACTAGGAAAGGTCGTGGCCAATGTCATCAGATAAGTAATAGCTGTGTTCTGTCAGCAAACTATAATGAATTTGAGATTTGGTTAATCATTACAGTAAATTGCAACAGATGTCAAAAATACATTTGGAAATTCTATTAGGAAAATATAATAATTCTTTGAAATAAATGATTATCCAGGGAATATAAATTAATGGAATAAATTCATTTCTGGGGGATATAACGCACTGCAATTAATTATTTCCTGAAAAATATAACTCACTGGAATAAATTATTGTTTAGGGGAATATTACTCACTGGAATAAATTATGGGCCAGGAAAAAAAAAAAACTCACTGGAATAAATTATTGTCTGTGGGAATATAACTCACTGGAATAAATTATTGTCTGTGGGAATATAACTCACTGGAATAAATTATTGTCCAGGGGAATATTACTGACTGTGATAAATTATGGCCCAGAAAAACATAAAGCTCACTGGAATAAATTATTGTCCATGAAATATAAATCACTGGAATAAGTTATTGTCTGGAGGAAAATTACTCACTGAAATAATTAAGTTTTACAGGGAGATATAACTCATTAGAATTAATTATTTTCTGAAGAATATTACTCACTGAAATAAATTATTGCCTGGGGGAATATTACTCACTGAAATAAATTATTGTCTGGAAGAATATTACTCACTGAAATAAATTATTGCCTGGGGGAATATTACTCACTGGAATAAATTATTGTCTGGGGGAATATTACTCACTGAAATAAATTATTGCCTGGGGGAATATTACTCACTGAAATAAACGATTGTCTGGAAGAATATTACTCAGTGAAATAAATTATTGTCTGGGGGAATATTACTTACTGGAATAAATTATTGTCTGGAAGAATATTACTCACTGAAATAAATTATTGCCTGGGGGAATATTACTCACTGAAATAAATTATTGCCTGGGGGAATATTACTCACTTAAATAAATTATTGTCTGGAAGAATATTACTCACTGAAATAAATTATTGCCTGGGGGAATATTATTCACTGAAATAAATTATTGCCTGGGGGAATATTACTCACTGAAATAAATTATTGTCTGGAAGAATATTACTCACTTAAATAAATTATTGCCTGGGGGAATATTACTCACTGAAATAAATTATTGTCTGGAAGAATATTACTCACTGAAATAAATTATTGCCTGGGGGAATATTACTCACTGAAATAAATTATTGTCTGGAAGAATATTACTCACTGAAATAAATTATTGCCTGGGGGAATATTACTCACTGAAATAAATTATTGTCTGGAAGAATATTACTTAAATAAATTATTGTCTGGGGGAATATTACTCACTGAAATAAATTATTGTCTGGAAGAATATTATTCACTGAAATAAATTATTGCCTGGGGGAATATTACTCACTGAAATAAATTATTGTCTGGAAGAATATTACTCACTTAAATAAATTATTGCCTGGGGGAATATTACTCACTGAAATAAATTATTGTCTGGAAGAATATTACTCACTGAAATAAATTATTGCCTGGGGGAATATTACTCACTGAAATAAATTATTGTCTGGAAGAATATTACTTAAATAAATTATTGTCTGGGGGAATATTACTCACTGAAATAAATTATTGTCTGGAAGAATATTACTCACTGAAATAAATTATTGCCTGGGGGAATATTACTCACTGAAATAAATTATTGTCTGGAAGAATATTACTCACTGAAATAAATTATTGTCTGGGGGAATATTACTCAGTGAAATAAATTATTGCCTGGGGGAATATTACTCACTGAAATAAATTATTGTCTGGGGGAATATTACTCACTGAAATAAATTATTGTCTGGAAGAATATTACTCACTGAAATAAATTATTGCCTGGGGGAATATTACTCACTGAAATAAATTATTGTCTGGAAGAATATTACTCACTGAAATAAATTATTGTCTGGGGGAATATTACTCACTGAAATAAATTATTGTCTGGAAGAATATTACTCACTGAAATAAATTATTGCCTGGGGGAATATTACTCACTGAAATAAATTACTGTCTGGGGGAATATTACTCACTGAAATAAATTATTGTCTGGAAGAATATTACTGAAATAAATTATTGTCTGGAAGAATATTACTCACTGAAATAAATTATTGTCTGGGGGAATATTACTCACTGAAATAAATTATTGTCTGGAAGAATATTACTCACTGAAATAAATTATTGCCTGGGGGAATATTACTCACTGAAATAAATTACTGTCTGGGGGAATATTACTCACTGAAATAAATTATTGTCTGGAAGAATATTACTCACTGAAATAAATTATTGCCTGGGGGAATATTACTCACTGAAATAAATTATTGTCTGGAAGAATATTACTCACTAAAAATAAATTATTGCCTGGGGGAATATTACTCACTGAAATAAATTATTGTCTTAGGGCATATAACCTACTGGAATAAGTTATTGTCCAGGGTATATTATTTACTGCCATAAATTATTGTCTGGGAAATCTAACGCACTCTAATAAATTATTGTCCTCGGCATATGTTTTAGTGTAATATTATCCAGGGAATATAACTCATTAGTATCCCCTGTTCCATGTCTTCAAAATCTTTTACAATATTTCCATAACATGCTCTGCACATGTTTGCACTGTAAGTATTTCTGTGCAGCGATGATCTTATTAACCAAGTATTTCATTCAAAGCTAGTTGGTGGTTGTTTGGATCTGCAGAGGCAAATGTTGTTCTGTTAATAATAGTAGGTTGAAGCTGACCCTCATTTCCATCACAGAGAAGTCGACCCATGACCACCAAGACATATACCTCTGGTGTCAGAAATGGACAGCAAGGTCAGAGGGCATTCAAATAACAACGTGCAGTTATGAAACATGCCTGGACAGAGTCCTACTCAGTGACATGTATGAATTCCTGCCACTAATAGAACAGGCATATGAATTTGCCTGTGATCTACACCAAGTACAGAAGGGTGATATAAGGTTTCAAAGCAAAGAACAGTCCCTCTGATGTAACTGACCCTGTTTTTCCTTGAATGGAAAGTCATCAAGTGAAATATTTGATGCTCAGATTTCTCTATTGCATTAATTTAAAAATGGTTCCAAAGAGAAAAAAGCTGTTTGAACATTTTCATGTTCTGTTTGGTGTAATGACTAAGTATTGGTAATGCCTCTGTAGTCTTACTGCATACTATTAAATGCTTCTTGTAACACATACAGACCAAAAACCCCTACAAAGTATGGGAGATTGTGAAGTAAAGGCTAAGTTCTTTGGTTATAATCCTACAGCCTGCAGAACCAAAAGACTGAAAAGCAAAAACTTGATTCAAATGTGTGTGTCATTTTGTGTGTCAAATGTCCTTTGAGTAGATTGGATATAATATAATCCACTTGCATAAGGAAGGGGAATGTTAAAGGAAAACAAGTAGGGAAAGAGGACGAAATACCCCCCCTGTATTCTCTATATCTTTTAATCAGAAAATTATTAAAAGATACAGAGAAAATTAGACTCCTGACAACCATGCAAGACCTGCTAAAGCACCAAAACTGTCTCCATCAGATAAACAGTACTTAATGCTTTCATCTTTGAGAGAGAGGAGAAAATCTAGCTCCCCTTTTGCTGTGTGTAGCTGTCAAGAAGCTGTTACTGAGGAAAGGGAATGGACAAAAAAGAAGAAAATTTGTACTAGATCACCAACATCTGAGATGTGAAGTAAGGTTTTATGGACTGATGAGTTAAAATTTTAGTACTTGAATCATGAGAAGCATAAAATGTAACCAACTTCTAAGACTGAACTTTGGAGGTGTGAAAAAATATCCCTGCAGATTTCTTTGAAAAGTAAGCCTACCAAACAGAATGGAAGCTGTGATTACAGAAAAGGCTGGACACACTAGACACTAAAAAATGTTCATATTATATTCATCTGTTGAGGCTTGGATGTGCATACTTTAATAAAGTAAATTCAATGCATTCCTTGTTTTTCCAGTGCATCATGTGGACAGTGTCCAGCCTCCATACTGAGTGTTTCATGAGAGGTCAGGTATGTCTAGTAGAAGGAGTTGATTTACAGCGTGTTAAAGTCCTTGGCTGGGTCTCCCTCCAGCACATGGTGAAAACGAGCTGCCTCTTCACTGAGTGCAGTCCTGGAGCAGTGTCCTTTTGACACTAGCATATCATCTCACAGGCTTGTGCTCAGTTATAGCAGAGAATTATAGAACTACAGCTGAGTTGGATCTAAATTTGTTCAGTCTGACTATGAGGAGCTGAAGAAATATCCTTCAATGGCTTACTCTGGCACGAGTCTGGCTGTGGTAACAGTGATCAGGTTGAATAGGGTGACATTTCAAACACTTAAATTGTCATAGAGAAGAGACTATAGATAGCCTTAATTAAGACGTGCTGATACAAATCATATGGGGTGTGCCACTTTTAGTCCTGTGCATTTACCCGTGGCTA